CCAGGTGTGTGGGCATTACATATTCAAATTTAACAATCACGTACATGCTTAAATCGCCAAATCTATCTAAATATAAGTGTAGAAATGTGGTATTGCATTATGTCTTTTTTTCACAGCTAGTAAATTGTGGCCATGTATGGAGTATGATACGTGCTACTGTGTGCATTGCCATGGAGTGCGAGGAGACGCTATGTACTACGAAAGAGGAATACCATCGAAAGTATATGCACTACCAATTGGATGGGTTCGCTTTCCCCTGAAGTAAGTGAGCTGATTGCATTCAAACTTAGGCTTTATGGCATTTGAACAGACAATAATTCCCACTGTCGTAAAATTCAAATTACTAATACTGCTGCTAAGCGTTGATCCGCTTATACAATTCTATAGAATTAAACCGCGGCGTGCTTATATGAATCTTCATATTGAAGTACTATGTTTTGAATTAAATATAATCTTTCAAAATTCAAAAGGCTATATAACACACTTTAAAAACATGATGGCATTTGACTGTAATAAATTCAAATTACAGTCAAAAATCTTTTCCACGTATATTTTTCAGTTTATCGATTTTCTGATGTCGAATCTTTCGAGAACATAGCAGATTCTTTTATAAATGCAATATACAATGCCTTGACTACAGGTAGTGGGTTGCCTGGGATTTCAACAAAGTACAACTCTGTCACTAGTTTATAGCTTGGAATCTGGCAATTGCTCTTCTGCTCTGTTTTATGACCTGTTTTTGTCCCGAAAAAACATTAGTTCGTATGCCACAATATAGTCCTCCACCCATTGCATAAATTAACATATATCTGAGTAATTCATTTGATATTACATTTTAGAGTTCGGAATGCTTATCCCCAGTATCATGTAGCATATCACGGTACCAAATCTGAAAACCTCAAAGATATACTACTTACCCATCGGCTTCTCATACCAGGTAGGCAGAGAAAATAAAATTACAGTAATAAATTACGTATTAATATCGATTCATTGCTTTAATTTGATCTGCAAAACCAGTTGGAACTTGTGTTTATGCAGTATCGTGTACAATCTAAATAACCTATATAACCGCCCTTTGTTACAGGTGACACCACTCCCTCCGGTAAAATTGTAAATGAGAGAAAATTCCATATTCCAGCTTGTAACCAATTTGGTTTCAACACGAAGCAAATATTTGTGTCCCCTAGTATATTATACGCTGGGAATCCCACATATGCCACACCTAAAAAGTAAGTTAGTAATGAATTGGAGGAATTATTTGTTTATCAAGACATCGTTAAAGTGTATTTTATCAATTCAAATAAATGAATGGCTGAATGAATGAATCAATGGGGATTCATGCAAACCTATGTTAAGCGATCTAAATCAGACAATTGAATAATTTATTTCTCACCAACAATTCACTATAAGTTGTAACATATTTATTTTTCTTTTCATAATTTGTAAATGCACATTCCTGCATAAGATGGTACGATTGTATAAGTCGCTGGGTATACAACGCGAGTGTAGCGATACAAGTATGGATTCGCCCATTCAGCTATAAAGTAGGAAGACATACTCTGGCAGGAGCTTATGGAATCGACCCATTCTTCAGTGATGACACATTAGAGTGGTCGACGACGAATAGATGGGATGTTATACCATACGGATTACTGGTGAAAATTAGCTAAATGGTTTAGGTTAGGTTAGTCTACATATAAAAAATGCTAAATACTGAGTTGAGATGTAAACGACTGTAGTAACGTCAAAATAATAGGGATACGTGGTATGTTGTATAAAAATTCAAAACCAGCAATTACTAACCACTCATAATAACGTGTAGTCAAATTCAGGATATGTAACCATATATTATTTGTTAGACGTAATAAAGAATGTCCATTCAGTATTTTTATTTCTTGTCTGAGGCCGCTGAACAAGTGTCAGGGTAGGTCGACAGTGACCAGTACATTTACTGACTTTGAGCAGTAGCTCATCTCATTTTCATTGTTTAAACAAACCCACAAGCCAAACTATTTGTACAATTAGTAAGATAGTGTGACTAAAAAGATAATTGTGTTGATCATTTTTGTATTTAATCAACGTTAGTAATATGAGGCTGCTGAACAAAAGGAGCTGGCTATTGTGTATTGTTGAAAACTGGCATGAATCCAAAATTGCAACCTATGCACTACTGAACATGCTTTACAGGTAAATGCTCACTTGTTTATTTAATAATTGCAAAGTCTAAAAACTTACTACAGTTTTTTTTCTTGGGACGCTATGAAGTTTTACACAGCTTGTTTGTATGATTAGATAACAACTGATATGTATCTTTAAATTTTATAACATTGTA